ATAAAGCTCGAGTATACTACGTTTGTACTCTTTTGTACTTTTTTGATAAGTTTTCCGCACATAATCTTTACTAACAAGCTAAAGGTCCTTCGTAAGGCTAAAAGTATTGTTAGAATCTATGAACTTTGAGTATATAGAGAGTTCATTTGTTTCATTTGTTATAACTATTTAAACTATAGCTGTTTAGTTCAGTTTTACCTCATTACCTCTCATTACCTCTTAAAGAACTTCACTCGTGAAAAAAAAAAAAAAAACGCCAGTACTTTTTTTATTTTATTTTATAAAGATTTATTTCTTCGAGTATATTTCTTTATATTATAATTTTTTTATAACGCTGACGGAACTTAATTTAATTTACATTTGGTAAATTATTTAAAGCGAAAGTAAGTATCTCGAATGCTTGTACCAATCTAATATAGCTGAAGCACAAATTACTATACAGCTTAACATTGATTTATTATGTTTTTTATATTCAAGTTGAAAAGAAATTAAAGTAACGGACATTGAAAATAATATTAAAAAAAAAAGAAATATATATATATATATATATATTTATTATATATTACTAAAATCTTTTATTCTTAAAAAATACGAAAGAATAATGGGCAACAATGCTTCTACCGGTAAGAAACGTTTTTCGGGCCTAAACATAGCGAAAGAATCTAAAGTCATTGAGGGTACTATAAATGACAACGAAAATACGAAAGACAAGAAAGAGAATGGACATTCCCATAACTCTGGCCCGCTGAATTCACCACTAGGGAGTCCTTTAGCTGTTGATACTAGTAAAAATAACTCTCAAAGTATTATGTCATCAGAAGAAAATTCTCCGATCTCGCCATCTTCACCTTCAACACCAATGGAAAGGATTCTCATGCGATCACTCGATGATAATGAAAGTCCCGTAAATGGTCATAATATGTCTTTCACTCCAAGTAGTGCGAATAACACTCCAGGTTCTTATACCAGGGATCGTCCGAAATCCTTCGATATTGATGATGTGATACGACGTCTAATCAACGCTGGTTCTACTAATAAAGTTCCTAAATCAATATGTCTCAAAAATAATGAAATAAACGCTATCTGTCATGCTGCTCGAGAAATATTTTTATCACAACCAACCCTTATTGAGCTTTCACCCCCTGTTAAAATTGTAGGGGATGTTCATGGTCAATATACCGATCTTTTACGTTTATTTGAAATGTGCGGTTATCCTCCTACAGCAAATTATTTATTTTTGGGTGATTATGTGGATCGTGGAAAACAAAGTTTAGAAACTATTCTTTTATTACTTTGTTACAAAATTAAGTTTCCTGAAAATTTTTTTTTGTTACGAGGGAATCATGAATGCGCAAATGTAACTAGAGGTAAATTCTTTTATTTTTTGTCTCTAGATGTCACTTATGTGGCATTTTTTGCATAAATTTATGTCTTCAATTTCAACTTGATTGTCATTTATGTGATATTATTGCATAAATTTATGTTAATACCTGTTGTCCGAAATTTTTTTATTTTGGGTAACAGGTATACATTAATTTGAATAGAATTTATTTAGAGAATATCAATTAATCAATTAATTAATTAATTATATTTATTTATTTATTTTTTATTTATTTATTTATTTATTTTATATACAAGTTTATGGATTCTACGATGAATGTAAGCGTAGGTCGAATGTCAAAACATGGAAAACTTTTGTTGATGTATTTAATTGCATTCCTATCGCAGCAATTGTAGCAAACAAAATATTTTGTGTACATGGCGGACTATCCCCATCACTTAACTCTATGAATGAAATTAGGGGCATCCAACGTCCTACTGATGTGCCAGACAATGGTCTTCTTAATGATCTTTTATGGTCTGATCCATCAGATAATGTTACTGATTGGGAGGATAACGAAAGAGGCGTTAGTTATTGTTTTGGGAAATCTATTATTAAAGACTTTCTGGAACGTTACGATTTCGATCTCATATGCCGTGCTCATATGGTAGTAGAGGACGGTTACGAATTTTTCAATGATAGGACACTAGTAACCGTATTTTCTGCTCCTAATTATTGCGGTGAATTTGATAATTACGGGGCTGTCATGAGCGTAAATGAGGAACTTTTATGTAGTTTTGAGCTTCTTAAACCGCCGGATGCAAAGCAACAACAACAGACGAAGGCAAAGAAGCGACCAAGGTACTTTGATTCAAATTATTACTGTTGAATTATTAATGTTTGAATTTTAACTAACTTTTTGATACATTTGTTTATTAATAGTATCATCGGGCCTCACAGTCCTCCTGTTACAGGCTATCCTCAATCGGTGTAATTACATAAAATGTATACACCTCAATATTATTAAATTTTGTTTAACCAATCCGTTCATTTGTCTATAAATTCCATTATTTTTAATTTCTATTATTTACAAAATTTACTCTGAAATTAAAAAGAACACTTATCCTTTCCAATTAGAAATACAATTGAAATATATATATATTTGTATTTTATTCAGTCAGGGACGATCATGATATCACAATTATTTTTTATATTTTATTCAATGAGGGAAAATCATGATACCACCATTCATTCACAATTATTTTACTTTATACTCCTTTGTTATGACTTTTATTATGAAACATTGATTTCTCAAAAAAGAAAAAAAAAAAAAAAAAAAAAAGGAAGAAACCAATGGTTTATCGTTATTATGATTTTGTACATAGAGTACTAAAAAAAAAAAAAAGCAATTGGAACTTTAAAAATATGTATTGGGGGTTTAGTTATTTGGTCGAGAAAATAAGAAAATCTATTTGGATAACTGTAATCACCAGTTACACGAAAATTATGTTACCTCGGCCCTAGAACTATAAAACATTTGTATATATATATAGTGTAACAATGCATTTTGAAGTATAGAAATTTGTTCACGTAATTTATTAAGCTTTTCACGAATTTACAAAATCAAATAAACAGCTTAATTAATGCAATATTATATATATACAATACAAAAATTTTTAGAAATAGATCTTCATTTATGATAGACAAAAGCCGATTTGTCAACTGGATTTTCTTTAAACTTTGATATTTTGGTGAAATATTGATTCATCCTAATAACTAAATACCCCTCTTTTTGTCATAACAACTCATACCTTATTATAAGATGAAAGACATTCGTGACTAGCAAATCTGATCCCGGTTCACGAAAATAATTAAAAAATGTCACATCTTACTTAAAATTTATAATTTATAACCAAATTAAGTGTAGGTTTTGTAACGTATAAATTAAAAAAAAAAAAATCTTACATTAATTACGTATACGTAACAATTTCGATTTTCAATGAGCCAAAATTTTTCCGCAAATCATTCCAAAAATCAATATTTAGTCAAAAAATCAAAGATTGAAAATACAAGTTTATCGTTATTAATTAATTTACTTGATAGAATCGTGTGACTTATTTTTTTTTTTTTGAAATTTCAGGTTTTGTACTTTCGGCACGATAGATTTGCCGAAAATATTTTAGCATTTAGCACTGCTAAATGCTAATGCTAATGATTAGCATACCCAAAAATATTTGATAACTTTAAACATCCCGATGAAATCTTATTGATACATATTATATACTGATTTATAAAATGTTATCGTTACTCCATAACGTAATTATCAGCTGTAGTGCCGGTAAAAACTTTTTCCCAATAATGTCCTATTGTTTATATATCTTTGATCAAGATAGTTTACACATACAATCACCTGATTGTTGTCCGATTGCACAGTTGTACGATCTGATAACGATATTGATTTAATTACAATGATCTAATGACCTAATTATAATACACCAACTATTTCTAGTGTTAATCACATTATACAAGGTAAGTGAGGGTATTACAGTATGACGAATGTGGGTATTTTGACGAATTGAACATATTACAAGGAAAAAGATTTTTTTTCAAGTAAATCTAATTCCA